TGTAGAAAAGATGTATATGTGGCGATAGTTGGCATTTCACAACCGACTTCGTTGAATTTCATATTATTAAATGTTGATGATGTTGCTGTACGCCAATTTATTGCGCATAACTCTTCTGAATTGATCAGATAGAAACGACCGCGCCTATTCTTTTACTAGTTTTTTAAAGTCGATAATGAGCAAGTGTAAACAAAAATGTCGTCAGACTAGCTTCAAATATATCACTGCAAACTTTTTTTTCTTTTGTTTTTGCCACTAGTAAATCGACTTTACTTGGTGGAGTTAGATAGCTCAATTTCTTTTCCTCAATTAGCTAAATGCGCCTACTGGATCGCCCGATTCACCAGCGACTGCATCTGGTGTTTTTGCAAAGCAGGTTTTGCTTAGGCGAAAACTCTTTTGTCCGAGAATATAGAAAACCAGCTCTTCACTTACGTATTACAAGCTACGTTGATTATTTCTGTACTCATTGTTTCGTGGTAACAAAGTTTACAAAAAATATTTCCGTTATGTTCACATACTGGTTAAGTCTAATTTCTTGTTACATAATTCTAAAAGTAAAACAAAAGTTAGTAAAAGTCTTCTGAACTTACTAAACGTACTACATTTGAAACATTTATTAGTAACGATTCCTAACTTTTTCTTTGAAAACATTGCTGGAAATAGGAAGTTTATCTGTAAAACTAAAGTTTTTCAGCTTAGTTCAACTTGTGTCGTGTGTGGCGTTTACTTAAACTTTGCTAAAAATTGCTAGACTCATAGTCATTCACTCTTCAATCAATAGTCAGTATAAAAAGGTTTCAATTTCAATTTGATCGCCTACATGTGACAAATTTTTCAGCATTGTTTGTTACGTAAATACTCAAGTCCTTTCAGCATACACTCATGACAGAAAAGGATGGCAATCTCATTTGATATATAAAACCTTGTGTCAATAACATCCGTAACATTTTCCTGTTTTACTTCAAGCACTGAGTGTCAGTTTCATCTATGTTTTCTTTCTATTCGTGTTTATGTAAGCTTTTCTGCCAAAGTGGTATAATGATACGGAAGATAAACTTTCTATAGTATTGATATTTTGATATCTGATCATATTGATAAATGCGCTGAATATGTGCTAAATATACAGACAGAATAGATTTGATTTTCTTATTCTGGAAGAGTTAAAAAATCATACAAAATCGCGTATTTTTAAGGTTTATAAAAATCGAAAGTGCCCAGATCCAAGAGAATAGCACCGTTAACCTGCCGTAAACGGACCATTTTCAGAACCTAAATTCGTACCGTTTTAGGGCCTTAGATAGATCGTTTTTTCACCGTTTACGGATCGTTTTCTAAACGTTTTCTTACCATTTACTGGCCGTTTTTTGTCGTTTTAAGAACATTAACGGGTCGTTTTTCTGACTTGGGCTACTATCAAAAAAAATTAAAAACTTTTTCTCTGACTTATCTGTCGAATCTACCCTTTCTCACTAATCGACCTAATCTAGGCACTACACTGTACATATCATCTAACAACACTATAGCTTTTTTTGCTCACTTGAAAACATCGAGATTCGTACATCAAAACTTGTGAGTTATTGATGGTTAATAAACGAAGTAAAAGTAAGATTTTTGCAGCAGCTTTATATAAAGTCATTTGAATATTTAGTTATTCCGACTTTTCGAAACTGGTACTACTACATCTGGAGTCAGACGATCTTCTAGACTTGTAGCTAAAGCACACACTATTGATAATCCAGTGAGTAAGACTGAATGCACGGACGAACATAAAAAGATACCAAAGAAAAATCGGCTTTAGTCAAGCATGAATCTAAGACTAGACATAAGGCTGATTGGATGAATTTCAAAATACTATGGAGCGATAAAAATCCATATAGATTATTTATAAAAGAATCATTAGTAATTAAAGCTTATGAACCTTCTCTAAGTTTGACAACACATTCAGTACCAATGATTGTGTATCCGGAAGGCTTGCCGAGAAATCTAGTACCTGATCCTAATGGCTAAGTTCGTATAACATCTATGTAGTAAATAAAAATATATGCATTCAATCCATGACATCCACTTACTTCACTCACATCCAGTATTTTCTTATACGATGATGGACAGAGAGAAGACGGATTTTCTTTTTCGAAAAAGAATAGCATGTCGTATTTCTCCTTGTTTCTTCTTCTTTCCATTTCATTTCCATTTTCATGTATACATAGGAATGAAAATCATTTTGCTGTGCGTTCATAATATTCTATTTGTTACACGCCTTGAAAATGAAAGTATAAATTTTCGAAACGTCGAAATAAATAAATATTCAAATGACTTTATATAAAGCTACTGTAAAAATCTTACTTTTAATCAGAACTTGTGTTTGCTAGTCTGTTACTGTAGCTATATGGCCATATCGGATCGAAAACTAACATTATCAAAGTGCTATTCAAGCGTGCAAGCTTATGTACTACATTGCATCCAGTTTATTTCACTACATCTACATAGTGCGAAATATGCTGGAGGAAAAACGAAAAACACACATATTAGATTCTATATACCGTAAACAAGCCGATAACAGCCAATTATCTGTTCGTTTTCCAGTACTTTATGCTAGAGTGATTTTAGAATGATTTCTCAATATGACACTTCGGAGTGATTAGAGACACTCTTTGAAATTTTCGTTCGCTTTTTGCTATTTCTTGGCCGGTTTTGATCGGAAAAACTTGCTATTGAACACGGTGGTAGACCAAACATTTTTCTACACGGTCACGTAAAAATTACACGAGTGTCTCTATTTACCCCAAAGTACCAAAAAGGAAAAAGAGAATTTCCGGTTCTGTTGATTATATGCTGATTAGCTTAATGAGTTTAAATGATAATGAGCTCAAAACTTTATGGTAGAGAGAGGAAGATCCGGACTATAAAATGAAGTATTTTTGAAGTAATTATCTCCTAAGCTTAATTAACCAGCAAGTGTACATTAACACTCCGTGTATTTGAACAGAGTGTCTCTATTTAGTTTAAGCTTTTATTAAAGAATGGAGAGTAGCACAAGCGGTCGAAGCCATACAGCGCATAGCAAATTAAATAAAAGGAAAAATAAAAAAAAAAAGAAAAGATGGAAGAAAGCAGTGAAGAAGATACGGAAAAACAAGAAGGGATAGGGGTAAATCACTCGAGAGTTTCGGGGCCAGTTTAAATAATAATCAATAATAAAAATGAAAACGAAAAGTGCGAAAGTTGAGGACTAGAAACGCCTCGTCTTCTCAATAAATTCAACGACCGAATTGAAAATAATCAATCTCTGATCTTCATCTCTATCAGTCTCATACAATAGCAATGTCCTAACGTCAAATTGAGTTAGAAAGCTCAATTTTTTCCTCATTTGTCTTCTTGCCCGTTTATAAACAGTGCAATCTAATAAATAATGTTGTATCGTTTCGTTGATCCGACAGGTAGGACAAAGTGGAGAAGAAACACACT